GCTCCACCCCCACCCCCACACAAGCTCAGGCCTTCATCCCAGCTGAGATGGCAAAATTAGCGAGTTAGCAGAGAGGGGGACGGCGGTGCCACAGCTGGACCCGGAGCTCCCCGCTTTCCTAAGAAGGGCTCTCTCCAGTCTCTGCAATGAGGATGATGATGATGATGATGGTGATGCAATGGTGATGGTGGTGGTGGATGATGGCGATGGTGATGGTGGATGATGGTGACGATGATGATAGTGGTGATGGTGATGACGGTGATGGTGGATGATGGTGATGGTGGATGATGGTGATGGTGGGTGATGGTGGATGATGGTGATGGTGGATGATGGTGATGGTGATGGTGGATGATGGTGATGGTGGGTGATGGTGGATGATGGTGATGGTGGATGATGGTGAAGGTGATGGTGGATGATGGTGATGGTGATGGTGGATGATGGTGATGGTGGATGATGGTGATGGTGATGGTGATGGTGGATGATGGTGAAGGTGATGGTGGATGATGGTGATGGTGATGGTGATGGTGGATGATGGTGAAGGTGATGGTGGATGATGGTGATGGTGATGGTGATTGTGGGTGATGGTGATGGTGGATGATGGTGATGGTGATGGTGATGGTAGATGATGGTGATGGTGGGTGATGGTGATGTGATGATGGTGATGGTGGATGATGGATGAAGGTAGTGGTGGATGATGATGGTGATGGTGGATGATGGTGATAATGATGATGGGGTGGTGGTAATGATGTGATGGTGATGGTGGTGACAGTGATGGTGGTGATGATGATAATATTAGTGAACTTGTATTGAGCACTTACTATGTTCTAAGAAGGTATGTCAACTCCTTTTATCCTCACCACAACCTTGGGAGGCAGATTCAGTTATGACCCTCATGCTATGGAGGAGGAAACTGAGGTTCTGAGGGTTCCTACTTCCCAAGGCCACACTGGTACATGGTGTTGGTATTCGAATCCACACTCTTAGTAACTGGGTTATCCCACTTGGGGAATTACATAATAGGCTCATTTTGCTTCTGGAATCAAAAACAAAACAACTCACCCAGAAAAAAAGCCAATAAATAATTTTTTAACAAAAATTATAACCTTTTAACTTCTGGAGAATGAGGACCTTGCTTCCTTCTTTCAAATATAGAACGGAAATTCAGAAATCTCAAGACAGCAGTCCCTTACCCCCTCCCCTGCCTCTCACTCCACTCCCTGCCCTGCTCCACACTTTGCACCTGCCATGTCAGCCCATGTCGGTTCCTAGAGGGCAGGGACTTGGGTCTGGTGACTTCCACTGGTGCACGGCACACAGCAGGTGCTCAGAGGGTCACTGACAAGGGACTTAGTCTCCCAGCAAGCCAGAAGGGGCATCCCCAGAGATCTCCCGCGGCCACGCTGCTCGCGGGGGGCACTGTGTTAACCCGCCTGGGCTGCCTGCCAGGGAGCCGTGGACAGCTGTCCTGCCCCTCCCTCTTCCAACCACAGTGACTCAGGCCTTCTCCCCTGCCCAGGACTTCTGCATCCACCGCATGGATCTAAGGCAGAGTGGAGGAGGTAGCCATCTCAAGCCATGATGGAGCCAAGCACCCACAAAGTCAGCAGGCTGACATAGGCACAAACAGGAGCAGCTGCTGGCAGCCTGGCGGGGAAGCCAAAGGCCGTGCTTCATCTAAGGAAGAACCAAGTGGTCACCATCAGCTCCCTTCTTTCCTTCCTAGGACCCAAGCATGCCCCGCCTTAGGATGGTGGCGCCCCTCGCAGTCCCCGAGACACTCCCCCCCGCAAAATTGCAGGTCCTTGTTATCATTCAAACGTCCCTGGCTCAACCACCCATCACCTCATCAGGCCATCGGTTGATTTCCTCGCTTACTTGGTTACTGCCTGTCTTCTTCACCCCCTCTTCTGGGTTGAATTGTATCCCCTAAAAAGATGTGCTCAAGTCCTCCTGGTACCTGTGACTGTGACCTTATTAGGAAACCAAGTCTTCGAAGATGTAATTAGTTAAATAAGATGAGGTCACACTGGAGCAGGGTGGGCCCCTAATCCAAGATGACTGGTTTCCTTCTAAGAAGAGGTGCAAGAAGAGAAAGCCCTGAGATGGCAGAGACTGGAGCGACGCAGCTGGAAGCCAGGAATGCCGATAATCCACGAGAACAGCAGTGGCTGGAAGAGGCAGGAAGGACCCCCAGCCCCACCCCCACAGGTGCAGAGGGAGCAGGGCCCTGCCAACATCCTGATTTCAGACTTCCAGCCTCCAGAACTGGGAGAGAATAAAGGGCTATTGTCTTAAACCACCCAGTGTGTGGCACTTTGTTAGGGCAGCCCCAGGACACTAGTACACCCCTCTGCCGACATTTTAGACGAGGTCCCTGCTCTCGTGACCCGATCCGGCTTGCTCCCATAGTCCAGCTCAGAGACCAGCGCCTGGCACAGAGGTGCTCAGTGCTGGCAGAGTAAATGAACCGCTGGGCTCCCATCTCCCTCCCAGGGCCATGAAGGAGGCGCCGTGCCCCCCATGTTCATGGCAGGGTCTCCAGTCTGTTCCCAATGCCTGGAGTAGAGTGGGCCTGCACAGGAGGTGTCGCACCAATACGTGGGTACACCTCTCGCATCAAGGGCAGTGCCTGAGGATGCTGGCAGTCCTGCAGCAAGCTCTCGCTCATGGGAAGGAGGGGCCAGCATTGGAAGCATCCCAGCCGACCCCAATGGCCACCGGCCAGGGAGGGTGGACACATTCCTGCACCGAGAACTCGGAGGAAGAGCCGCGGAGGTGACACTGAGCCAACCCCTCCAGTTCAGTTCAGCCAAACCTCTCGGGGCAGCTGCGTTCCTGAGGCTGAACCTCATCATGGAGATTTCGGAGCAGGTTTGGGGAGCCTACCTAGAGGCCCAGGGCGTGAGCAGGAGGCGGGGTTTGCACCAATGGGCCGATCGAGTCCTACTGACAGGCTCTGGGTACCCACCTCACCCCAGTTAATCAGCCCTCAGGAGAAAAGTCAAACATACGTTCCTGTTCGAGAGTCTGGGGGATCTGTCAGCATTCAGAGCAAAAATATGTCACCCCCCGCCCCCCGAGGATGAACTCCATGCTGCTTATTGTAATTGGGCCTGGGGGTCAGGGCACAGCCCGCCAGGGTTAACTGGGGCAGCTGGGTGCCGTTAGTAAGATTCAGAGGTGACTGCCAAGGCTGTCTGTCACCTCCCCTGGGCCCCAGCCTCTTTCCTTCCCGTACCACCCCTTCCAGAGGGCCTGCCATCCTCTCTAGCGGAAAGCAGAACAGGGCAGCGCATTCACGTGGGGCTCTGAAATGCAAATTTCATCCACGCTGAGCTGCCATTTGTTGCCCATCAGACTGACAGCAATCAAATCAGTCTGATAAGAGACGGTGTTGGGAGAACACACAGGAAACAGGCCTTCTGTATGTCACTGGAGGGAGCATAGACTGACATAACCTCCAAGGAGAGCAGTTCAGCAAAATCCAACACTTACTGCCGTGTGCGCCCTCTGACCCCACAATTCTATTTCTAGAACCGTATCCGACTGATAGACAGGCCAAGTGTGAGATAACGGGCCGACAAAGTTATCCCCCTCCTACCCCGCGGTCAATAATGGAGACCCACCAAGTGCTCGCAGGAAACTGGAGAAGCACCCGGCAACCCACACAGTGAAGTGGGTAATTCACAGAGCAGGGAGCCTTTGAAAGTGACATGGAAGGACCGTCCGGGTTCACCGTCTCGAGGTGCGGGCGAGAGCGTACGACGAGACACCCTTTGTGAAAATGCAGAAGCACAAACACATTTGCAATCAAGACGCCAGTGGCAGAGGCTGCCCGAGGGGTGGGCGGTGGGCGCAGCGTGGGGAGAAGCCCACTTCCACTGTCGCTGCTTTTCTCTCTTTTGAATTTTATACCGTGAACGTGTCTTACTATTCAAAAACGAGTTTTTAGACGAAATATATTTTATAAGCCTGGGCTCAAATCCTGCTTTGGCCATGCTCTCTCTGGGTGGCCTCAGGAAGTGACACACCTTTTGCGTTTAGGCCTTAATTCTCTCCATTTCACAAAGGAGGCACCACCTCGGGGGGCTGTAGTGAACGTGAAACGAGGTGACGGATGTGAGTGTCAGAAACACTCAAGGAGAGTCTGGTTTTCTTAGTATTTAAGGAGACCTCCAAAATGGCGTGCTTAGCAAAGGAGGTGGTCAGGGCTCCTGTGGCCCCAGATGTGGTAACAGGTGCCCGGTCCAGCCGAAGATGCTAGAACTTCCCCACAGAAGGAGGTGCCCACACCACCTTTCTTCCATTAATCACCAAGGAATACCATCAGCCTGATACGTCCAAAATCCCAGCCACCCGGGACGGCCACGTGGTCACGTCCACCTCGGGACTTTAGAATGTGCTTGTAAGATGTTCCAGCACATTCTCTTAGCCTTCTGGCCTTTCAGAAGACGTTGAAATCAAAGGGTCTCAAGAAATTAAAGTCTTTCAACATGAGCGTGTGGTTCCTGACCTCATGATTTCTGGAAGGCTGAGAGTTCTCAGCCTGTTTCTTTTTGGTTTGGGGGTTTTAATCGCCTCACGTTGTATTACAAACGGCCACTGTCATTGGCTGCCTGACATCACGCGCTGGGTTTGAGAGTGATGAATGGGACGGAACAGACCCATAAAATGCTCTTCCTCTTCCCCATCCCCCTCTCTTCCATGCCCCCCAAAACAAGCCAGACCCAGACCACCCACAGACACCCACATAGCCTCGGCTCCCCCGGCCAACCCCTATCCCTAACTGGATCCGCTGAGGGTGATAGCTTTAGGAAACAGCACACACACCATACGCCTTATTTAGAACAGACATTCATACAGGGCCTGGCACAGGGTTGGCGCTCCTGGGTGGGAGACTCTGTGATTGCCCCTGTCCCAAAGAGGCCCGCCCTCCACCAGCCCTGCCTCCCCTCTGTTGCCGTGGGAGGCTCAGCAGCCCTCCCGGCACCAGCACCCACCTGGCCAGGTGCTCCTGCAGCACTTGGTACACGCTGATGCGGAACGTCTCGTTATCGAAGCGCTCCCGGACGTAATCCTTGTAGATCCGGAACTCGGCCGCAGTCACGGCCTCCCCTTCTGGGATCTTGGAAAGATCAAACCGGAACTCCCGATGGTGGTAGCGCGGGTGAAAGAACTCTTTGTCGTGTTCCACTGAAAGGGGAAGAGAGCACACGGGCACCAAAAGCTCATTAGGAACTAGGTTTCACTCCCCTGCCTCCGAGTCCAAGCACCTTGCCCACGCGAAACAGAGACGTGCCACTGCCGGCAACCCTGGTGCCAACTGCCCATCTCACGCTGACCTGCTGCAGACCAGAGGCCACAGGCTCAGACCCCACGGTCACCTTGAATAACAAGGGCAAGGACTCTGCATCTGGCCTGCCGGGAAGAGCACGGCACAGACTGAGCCATCCCAGAGGCCCTGGACAGACTAGGTTCTGGGAGCTCAGGCCTGGGTTCAAACCCAGGCTCAGCCACTAACCAGATGTGAGGCCCAGACGAGGTGTCAGGGAACCTATCTGGCCCTCGGTTTCCTCATCTAAACAATGGGGATAATAATCCTCCTTCACGGGTTGAAGTGAGTTACGTGATGTCATTCATGCAAACGGCTTCGCCTCCCGTAAGGCCGGACAACTGTGAGAACACAGATCTTACTGTCCCATCGTGGGGTATCCGAGGCCAGCGCCCAGCCCTGGCGACATGCGAAAATCACTGTGGGAGCTTTGAAAGAACACTGGTGCCCTGGGCCAGTGGGGGGCCGGTAAATGTTAATAACCCTCTCTGGGACCTGATTGTGGTGTTTGCCAGTTCCCATCGTGACAGATCTCAAGCTACCAAAGCAACGTTGCTGAAGACGGAGGTGGGAAGATGGGCACACAGGAGCTCCAGCATCCTGCTCTTCTTATCCCTCTGAACCAACTGCATCAGCCTCTGTGGGGAGGGGGCCCAGAAACCTGTCTTTTCAACACACCCCAGGTATCTCTAATAGCAGCCAGGGTTTACAATCACAGTCTTGGAACTAAAAGCAGAAAAAGAGGTGAATGGCAGAGTCAGGGATGCTTCTGAAAACGACTTCAGGACAAAATAAGGCAAGGGCCTCAGCCCTCCTCCCTGACACTGGCAGATACTACACTAAGACATCACGCTCATTTCATAGACGATAAACACCTGCGCGGATAAAAGCCAAAGAACAGAGTTTCTGGGAGGGGACCTGCGCTTCCCAAGGATCACATATCCTTTGGACCAAATGGAGCAGGGATGGAGCCGGGAGCATCAAGTCCTGGAAAGAGGTAGAAGGGCTGAGCTCAGGGAGGTCTGCAGCATCTGTAGGGCCTTTCATCTCCTGGGAGATACAGCTCCATCTCCACTTCCTGCCTGTGGGGTGCGGAACCCGAGAGATAGTGAGAGACGGCGGACCAGCTCAGCCAGAAGAGAGGAGAAACCGGACCAGCGAGCCTCAGCTTCATGAGCCCAGGAAGCTCTGGGGCTGGGTTAGCTGGGCGGCTCCAGGCAGGACGGAACTGCCTTCCAGGAAGAGGTCCCCGTCACTGGCGGCCCGAGGGCCCTTCCTACAGGTCTCCCTTTAGAAAAAAGAAATTCTGTTTTAAACCTTAATAATAGTTCCAAAAGACATCGGGGTGAGGGCAGAGGGGGCAGGTGAAGTCCTCGAGGTCAGGGGACTCTGGGCACAGGAGTGACCCTGCCCCTGGAGAGACCTCGGGAAGGTGACCTCTGAACTGCACCTGCTGGAAGCTGGGCCACGTGTGGAGGGCTGGCCGGAGGAAAGGACTCTCCAGAAGCCTTCCCCGGTCCCTCCGATATGGCTGTCCTCACACACCACCCGCCCGGCCCCGGCGTGTGCCCACATAGGACACTTCTCTTCCGACCCGACCTATTTGAAAGCCTGCAGCAGATGCAATGGCCAAGAATGGTGACGGGGACGTCGCTGGTCCCCAGTGTGATTTGTAGAGAAGGCGAGGAGGGAAGACGTTTTGTGGCAGGCTCTAGGAAGTGCAGTCCACTGGGAATCAGGCGACCCTGGGGAGGGGACCCCAGGGTGAGGCAGCATGGCAAAGAGTCCAGACTCTGTCACTGTGGAAATGCCCTGGGCCAGTCCTCTGTCACCCTTCTAGCTCATTCAGCCTTCCCGTCACCCTAGGAGGTGAGCACCATGCCACACTGGTGGGGGATGCACGGGAGACCCCAGAGGTGCTGAGGGGCTTGCCCAGGGTCAAAGAGCTGGGGCTCAACCCAGGTCCCACCCAAACTGGAGACCTTAACCATGCGTCTCGGTGGCAGGGCTGACAGCTCAGCAGGAAGAGTTCGTTCGTTTGCCGGAACTTTCTCATCGTGTTACAGCATGCGTGTAGTATGTACACAGACCACGTGTGTAGAGCTCAGCGGACTGTCACAAAGCGACCCACCCATGGCAGCCCCTCCCAGACCAAGAAGAAGAAGACCACCTGCGCCCCTTCTCTCTCCCAGTCTCAAACCATGAGTTGGCTTTGCTTGTTTTCGAACAATACAGTACGCGTTCTTTTGTAGCTGGCTTCTTTACTTCAGCAGAGTTTCTGCAATTCATCCATACTGCTGCCATGTCCACTCATCCTCATTGCTGTATAATATTCCACAGTTTGATGATACGATGATCCATTTATCCTTTCTACAGCTCAGGGGCGTTTGGCCGTTTCCAACTGGGGGCTCTTAAAGCAGTGCTGCTGTGAACATTCTGGTGCCTGTGCTTTGGTGAATGGGGGAGGCAGACCTAGAAGCGGGATTGCGTTCAGTGTTAGTAATACCGCCAAGCTGTTCTCCCAGAGCACTGCACCAGGGAGCCTGTTAAGGCTATGCCAGGAGGAGTGGCGGAGGGAGACGAGCCTGTCCTACGAAGGAGATGGGCACAGGCTGCGGATGACTCATGGCCTCAAGTGCTTTTCTGCAGGAGACCGAGAGGGACGTGAGGCAACAACTCCTGGGGAAAATCCTGACCTCCCAGGGAGCAGTCAGTGTGTGCGCCCAGGCACCCCTACTCTGCATCTCCGGGAAGCAATCAGTGTGTGCGCCCAGGCACCCAACCCCTAGGGAGCAGTCAGTGTGTGCACCCAGGCACCCCCACTACGCACCCCAGGGAGCAGTTAGTGTGTGCCCAGGCACCCCCACTCTGCACCCCAGGGAGCAGTCAGTGTGTGCGCCCAGGCACCCCAGCCCACACCCCAGGGAGTGATCAGTGTGTGCACCCAGGCACCCCCACTCTGCACCCCAGGGAGCAGTCAGTGTGTGCGCCCAGGCACCCCCACCCCCACTCCCAGGGAGCAGTCAGTGTGTGCGCCCAGGCACCCCCAACCCCCACCCGCAGGGAGCAGTCAGTGTGTGTGCCCAGGTACCCCCAACCCCCACCCGTAGGGAGCAGTCAGTGTGTGTGCCCAGGAACCCCCAACCCCCACCCCCAGGGAGCAGTCAGCGTGCGCGCCCAGGCACCCCACCCCGCACCCCCAGTGAGTTAGCTCCCAGTGCACAGCCTATGCTGCCCCTCAGCCCCACCTCCCACCCAATCCGAGGCCACCAAGGCCACCACTCCATGACTACATGGAAAGGACATTCTATGGTCATCATCTTCCTGGCCCTCCAGGTAGCAGCATTCATCACTTGGCCCCTCCTGCCTTTGCACACCTCGCCTTCCTGTGGCTCCCTTCACTGGGAACTCTTAGGTCTCCCTGGGGACTCTGCCACTCCCTGAACCATTCCCGTGGATATTCCCATTTAGGGGCGTTACCGTGGGGCTGCGGAGTATCAGGAGAGCATTCCACAGGCCACTGCCCCTCCCCCATGCTGACAGACACACAGACAGTCTCCATTTCCAGCCGTCTTCCTTTCTCCTCCCCCAGCAGAGCAAACCTCCAAAGGGCAGGAGCAACATCCAGCAGCGGGGGCTGCTGCACGCCGTCATGCACGGGAGCCCCCAGCACGGTGCGGGGACGCAGTAACACCCCCGACAAACCTCAGTTCCCGTGTTCCCAGCCCTGGGACTGACCACACCTCAGAACAGCTCCTCCTGGCCAGTACAGCAATCAACCCCAGCAGACAAAGGGGGTGCCAAGCCCCTGTTACAATGAAGATGTCTGAAGAACCCAGAAGTGCAAAAAAGCATGCTGACCAAAAGCGTGCTCTGCAATGGGCTCCCGCGCTGAGCATCATCTGATGGACCCCGACGAAGCAGGACTGATCCCCACTTTACAGATAAGAAACCAAGGCTCAGGGAGGTCAGGTAGCTTGCCCAAGGTCACAAGTTAGGTGAGTGGCTAAACTCCAAAACCCACAATCTTGACCTTTACGGTTGCTAGAACCAGGTGGCCTGAGTTCGAAGCTCAGCTGTGCCACTTACCAGCTGTGTGGTCTTGGCCAAGTTACTTAACCTCGGTGTGCCTCCCCTCCCGCAGGGGATAATAACAGTGGCCCTTTCTCACAGAGTTCCTGGGAGGATCACAGAGTCGGCACTTACAGCAGCGCCCGGCAAACGGAAAGCAATTCGTGTCTGCCGTTGTGACTGGGCCTCTGAAACAAGGAGCCGGGAGAAAGGCAGTTGATGAGGAAGAAGCAACATGCGCATGTGGGTATTTACATCATTCAGCTAGGATAACTTTGAAAAAAAACTGCAATGGATCGAACAATAAAGAAATGTTTGAAAAAGCATGACATTAACACAGGTCCAATCGCCAAAGTTGCACCCAACGAAGAAAGAAAACATTGGTACATAATCACAAATAGAAAGTTTATTGCAGCAGGGGTACGTATAACGTTTTTTAACGTATGAGATTAAATATATCAGGGTTATAAGATGTTTTTTTAAAAAAAGAAAAAGGGAGGAAGTGTCCAACTAAATTTCTTGCAAACATTTGCAGGCTCTTTGGGATGTTTCTGAGTGAATTTCCTTCATCAGTTGTTTTGGGACAATGACAGGCATGAGCCACGTCACCATTCTGTTCTTCCCCAAACCCACATCATCACACGTTCTGAAAATAATTTTGTGATGTATCAAAGAAAAAAACAGTCATTTTTTTGGGAAAAGCAGGGAATAATTCAAAGTTCAAACCGAATTCCGAGTCTCGTCTGCCCGAGGTTTTCATCTGATACGGACGCCACTCCATGGCGTGGCA